AAAAGATATTGAATTAACAACTTTGCTTCACTAAGCCAAAACAGATAAACTCTGTCATGGAAAGTGTGAGTAAATGGCTTTTGGCAGTAATGATTTCATCATCTAGGCAAGGCTACTGTTTAAAATGTCAGCATAGGCCTATTTTTGGCTGTCAGAGGTATAGCATAACACCTCTCAATGAGTCTATAATCTGAATCAGAATTAATTCATCATGTCATAGTGTGTTATATTCTGCTGTGTTGCCAAGTGATTTGATCTGTCCTTCGTTAGATGTTAACCTTTAATCATGACTAATCTGTGCTGATGGAGGCTCTGGAGCTAGATTCGATTTTCCAAGGATCCTGTTTTAGTGGAATATGACATCAACTGCCCGTTTCATGATACAAAATGAAAGATTCTGAGTCTTTCTCAGGATGTTTGCCTATAAATTAATGAAAACCTTCACACCAATTGTAAAACGTGGCCTGTATTCCAGAAATCAAAGCTTGTTCACAGATGTGATGGCTGCACCTGAAAAGCAAGTGGCAAAATGTGACCACATGGGTAAAATTGGTCTTAATCAGTCTGTCACGCTGTGTCAGACAGTCAGGTAAAGGGATGTCAAAACCTAATTCTCTCAGGTCACAAGGTCCCATCCCTCCACTGAATGTAGCTGTCAATTAAATGATCTAATTATGCTTCCGATTGGATGCGTTTCAGAGTTTGTCAAGGTCTGTTAATGTTGATGTATTTGATCATGTGACAACCATTCGTAGCCGACCCTGTGAGATCATTATATGGACGCGTTGAGATAAAATAGGAAATATAGCTACCTCTAACAAACATAAACGGTAGGCCTACATATGCCATGTAGCCTAAATGCTCCTAATATTAGGCTACCGTATAAGCACTTCATCAAGTCTGGTTTGTTTCATGTAATGAAGGGAGTGTGTTGTTTTGCTAGTGTGCCCTCACCTGGACAAAATGGAGACAACAGGTGATAATTACACAACAGCTTTGAGGCATCAGGCAGGTTGATTTACATGGGCACAACATGCTGTTATATTCAACTTTCAGTGTGTGAAGCTCAACATGCTCAGAGTTGTATGTCTCTATTCATAGTCTAGAATAGTTTCGATAGAAAATAATTCTAAGGCTAGGTGTGACCAGGGCCGATTTTCCTGGAAAGTTGTCACAAGGCTTATCTCAGGCTAACTACGATTTAGATTTTGTTTCTCCAGTCTTCAGTTGCACATGATCCTTCTTGTGGAAAACATGATACCATTGAAGTCTGTAAAACAGAAATTATTATTATTTTATTCAAGACATATTACAAAAGAATTAGATTTCAAACATATGCTGTTCTTTTGATCTTTCTATTTATCAAGGAAAAAAATCCTGGGAAAAAAATATAGTCTATAACAAAAATATGAAGCAGCAACATCGATTTTCAACATCATAGTAGCCTACATATATGTATTTTTTTCTATATATAAAAATAGGTATTGAATGCATATAACCACTTTTCTGGCTGTGCTGATAGGCTAATCTTGACGAATCTTTAATCCTCAGGCAATGTATTTCCCTTGTACACCAGGGGGCAGGTTTGCATAACACAGCAGCCAAACAAAGTTGCAATAAAGGCCTTCCAAATAAAAATATTCAAAGATACATAAATGAATAGTCAGCTATTGCACATTTACAGTTATGTGCAGTCAAAGTTATTGATAGAGAGTCTATGAATGTTGTATTTTTATAGACATTCACGGGGAATCAATTTTGTGATTGTCCCACAATTATTATACATCATTTACTTATTAAAGTTCTGCAGAGTAGTTAAAAATTCAATTAAGTGTCAGTTGAGCAATAGATGGGAGTAAAAAAATTATCAATTACATTGTTCTTGTTTGAATCTAAAACCAAGACAATCTTTCTTATTAATCAAGCTATATAATATCAAAATTATTGTGAAAGAATTTGATAATAATTGAAAAATTAATTGCTTAATATCTGCAGGGAGATAACACTTTGCAATATATTAATGACATTGCAGTTAGATTGAGAACAAAAATCTGCATTGCTTGATTCCTTTCGACTAAAATGCTGTTTTGAAATACACTGTTATCCATTTATGATAGTTGATATTTTCCATCTCATACACATGTAATTGAGAAAGTGAAGAAAAGAAAATCTGGCAGTATGTCTCCCAATCTTATCTTTTCGTGCCTTTTTAAATAATACACCAACACAGCCCAATCAGGATATAATTGAACAGCAATTCAAGAAATTTCACAACAAACACTTTCAGCTGATGCAACTGTAACTATATATTCAATCAGATACAACACAATAGAATATGAGTTTTGTGTCAGAAACAAAATGATATGAGTTTATTCCCTCCAACATTTATCTCTCAACTATTGCAAAAAAAGTATGCACAACTTTTTGCTCTACTTCCAGTTCTGCTCTTTATGATTGTTATGATTCCTGTGGTATTTTTATTGAGCATCATGCAAAATATGCCTTGCTGTGTGATAATAAAAGTCTCAAATGTTTATGCAGGACTAACCTGTTTTATTGAATGTCTTTATAGCAACAAACCATTCAGTTGCGGTCTGTTTCAAGATTTTTATGAAGTCAGTTTATTTTGTAAAAACAAATAGGCTATGTGCAAGACCTGAATTTATTGACTTTCACTTAAAGGGATAGTTAACCCTAAAATGTAAATTCTACCATAATTTAAACACCCTCAAGTTGTTCCAAACCTGAATTAATTTCTGAAAGTCAATGGGGTCCCATCAACTGTTGGTTATACAATCTTCTTGTGTGTTCAGCAGAACTGGTTTGGAACAACTCAAGGCAAGGGTGAGTAAATGATGGCAGAATTTTAATTTTTTGGTTGAACTACACTCTAAGAAAAAAAGGTACGAAAGCTGTCACTGGGGCGGTACCTTTTCAAAAGGTACACTTTTGTACCTAAAGGGTGCATATTCACATATTTGTACAATTATGGTACCAATATGCACCCTTTAGGTTCAAAAGTGTACCTTTTTGAAATGGTACCGCCCCAGTGACAGTTTTTGTACCTTTTTTTCTGACAGTGTATCCTTTTGATAAAGCTATAGATGTAGATTTTTAAAACGACTTTAGCCATCGGCGTCACAGAAAAAGTGGCGACCCATAATATGCAGTGAAGGAATGTCATATGGGATATTTCAAACAATGGATCTGACATAGCTATTTTCTCATAATCCAATAAAATGTGCGTTATATTTGTTGGCAAAGATAACGTTTCCCAGGTTACCATTGACAATGGCATTTTCTTCCATCTCTTTATTTCTAAAGGCTGAAGAATATGAACATTGTGAAAAGTTCATTTCTGAATTCCACGAGTCCCAGCTCACTTGTCTGAAATCACGACAGAGCTCTCTGAAAAGCAAAAAAAAAAAAAAAAAAAAAAAAAAAAAAAAAATGTGTTCTGTCATCCACTAAGACAAATGTTTTAGATAAATCTGTCCTTGGAACAGGATTTTGTGAATAAATCAACCCACACCACTGCTTCAAAAACAGATCTGTATTTTACATGCCTGTTCTGTTTTATAATATAAATAATATTTGATAATAGGTAATTGAGCCACACCATGATATAATTACTCTACACTCTTGTGTTTGGTCATTAGCATAATTTATTACCTTATGAAGATCATGTATCTATTTATTTCCTCAGTGAGTCAGATGTTTTTCTATCCTTTCCATCTCTGCTAAAGGGGAAGGTGCCATTTAGGCAGGTGTCGCATCCATTATTCATGTCTCTCACACCACCAACAATTTTCCTACCTGACACTTCACTTCAATTAGCCCCAAAACGTCTCTTTTTTGTTGGAGTGTGTTGCTTGCAACCTAGCTCAAAAGCACTCTACAAAGCTCCATTTGCAGCCATCAGCCTTTGGTCTGTCAGTCTCTTGTCTCATGGATCTTGTCTCACGTGCGGTTAGAACAAACAGCTAAATAAGGTACGGTACAGTTCATTCCCATGCACAGATATCTTAATATGAATACTCAGAGCCTGAAGCATCTTCATTGAAATGGAATGAGAGTATTCGATTTGAATACAGCTGATCCTTACAATGGCTGAATTTCCTTTAAGGCCCAAATATTTGACAATGTATCGTCAGGCCTTCATCTGTTCTTTAGTATTCTCATCAAAATTGCTTCTATTTATATTGCTATTTCCGTTCGTAATGATGAGCACTTCATGTACAAGTGGGAGCTTCAGACACGGGACCGAATGAAAATCCAGGCTCTTTACAGATGTCAAGTGGCCCAATATAATTTGGACGGACATTATAGGGGGAATAAGTGCTGCTGATCCACCATTCTAAAATTCTAAAAGCAGAGATGAGTTCAGTCAAAGTCTAAATTACATGTAGCTGCTCACTTCATAGTTGGAAAGGTTCTGGCTTGGTCATCAGCTAAAATTGATGAGAACATGAGAATCAAACAGTTCTTCATAAATATTATCAGTGAAGCTCTCTATCAAAACAGAGACCATATGAAAAACTTATTTTATTCATTTTAACAAGCTAAATCTTTCAGATTAACACACAATGATAACAAAAACCCATCTGCACCACTCTGAATATGTCTGCATTGTAATCAGAAACTATAATAATGTACAATGAATAACATAAAAGGTAAATGATATAGCCTAAACAAAAGGTACAATGTGTCTGTAAATCAAAATGTAACCAAATCCTAAAACAGATCTTAGTTAAAATCATCAGTTATCAAAGGGATGCCAATTGCCACATGCATTTCTGGGTCATTTTAAACGTAATAATTCATTGGGAAGTTATTTTTGAAGTAAGAATTCGATACCCCCAAATAATTAAATACATGTTTTTATTCAAGTTATTATAAAAACATAAATATAGTTCTCGCTCACTGTCTTAAATTATATACATTTTATGTTTATTTTAACAGTTTTATACTGTTCAAAAGTTTGGGGTCTGTACAAATGTTAACGGTTGTGCTGCTAATATTTTTGTGGAAACTGTTACTTATTTACAGGATTTTATCAAAAGACCAGCATTTATTTGAAATATAAATCTTTTGTATAATTAAATGCCAACTGTCACTTGATTTAAAGCACCCTTGCTGAATACATTTCTCAAAAAGAAAGTGTTATGAATATACTCAATTTATACTCATTCTACTGAAGTCACATAATGTTTTAAAACTAGTATACTTAAAATTGTCAAACTGTAAATATAAACGGACTGTCAAATGCCAGAATCAGTCTATATTCATTGAATGCAGAGGACAGACTGACATTTCTGATGAGTGTCCTTCACTGTTAGACACTGGGTCAATTGGTCACTTTTCCTGGCATTAAAAGCCCAGACATCATTCCGTTTGTAAAGCTGTGCTTTTTGAAGAGCTCAGATAACCACACTTCTAAATGGGTGGTTTAAACTGGCATTTGTGCCGAGGCCAAGACATCTGCTATCTCTCAGTGCTGGCGGGAGAAGAGATTCCTGAAAGCGTTATTATAGTTCTTGTTGAAGGCTGTGTAAATGAGTGGGTTGAAGAAGGAGTTGGAGTAGCCCAGCCAGAGGAAGACACTCTTCCATATCGGAGGAATGTGACAGGAGCACAACGGAGTGATGAGCTCGGTGAGGAAGAAAGGGATCCAGCACAGGACGAACACTCCGATGAGGATGCCCACCATCAGAGCCGCTCGCTTCTCCTTCTGTTCTCGCCACGTCTCACTGTCAGTCTGAAATGTCACAGTAGCATGGCGGACCGTGAACACCATCTGAGGCTGTTGCCTGGAGGCCTCTTTTACCTGAGGGAACACATGTGTCTTGAGAGGATCAGTCAGGAGCATAGATTATAATCAAATAAACAACAGTATGTGGATTCAAACCTTTTCTTCTTGAATAAAATCATTCAATTCCTCTACATTCCATGTGTCCTCATATAGCTTATACAGTATGTGAATTGAATTGAATATGAACATCATTTACATATTACATTTGAAATATTTACACTAATGTTCAAAAGTTTGGGGTCTGTAAGATTTTGTTTTTAATTAACAAAAGAAATCGCTTGTTCGCCAAGGCATGCAGAAGATATGCAGTAATATTGTGAAATACTCATTACAATTTAAAATGTTTGTTTTCTATTTTAATAAATTAATTTGCTGATAATTTACTCAGATAATTTACATGGTGATAATTTACCCCATGTCATCCAAGATGTCCATGTCATTCTTTCTTCAGTAGAAAAGAAATTAAGGTTTTTGATGAAAACATTCCAGGATTTTTCTCCATATAATCCACTTTACTGGTAACCAAATGGTTCAAGGTCCAAAAGACAGTTTCAGTGCAAACTGCAAACTGTTCAAAGGGCTTTAAACGATTCCAGACAATGAATAAGGGTCTTATCAAGCGAAACGATCGCTCATTTAAAAAAAAAAAAAAAAAAATATAGCTGCGAGCAGCGATGGCGGGCCCAAGCCGGTGGCACCGCAACCCCGGTTCCTTTAGTTACCTAAAGGCACCCGGGTAGCGGTGCCGAAGGCTTTGGCCCTTTTATGATTAAATGTTAAAACAGCTTGCCATACTCTGTCATTTCGACTAGTCACAATTATGTTACAGATGTCTTAAATGATAATACAAACTATCCAAAATGTAATTACGAATAGACAGAAAGACGTTGTTGATATCTACAATGTTAATTCCGGACAGGCAAACTTAGCTTTTAAATGTTAAAAGGGCTTGCCATACAGGGACGTAGGCTCAGAGAGAGGCTCACCATATTCAAACCAAAATATCTGACTTCCTCTTGGTCCGAGCTAATGACTATGTATTAGAAAGTTGTCCGGCTTGAGGAGTACAATGTATATACCGATTTTTGTAACTGTAGATAAAACTAACAACCCCACTTTTGTCAAAAGGTGGCGCTATTTAGTCCTTGCACATTGCCCGTTTCTGAAACTTTGCACGTCTACTGGCTAATAAATGTGATGTATCTGTTGAGTTTCAAGCAATTTCAATTTCAATTTGACTGTTGAAAAGAAGTGCGCCGATTAGATACTCAGGATCGGTATCGGCTCTGACACTGCCATCTTTGACGAGGCTGATTCAAATTCTATATTGTGCATATACTATTCTGTTAGGCACAAAGGCACAAAAACTTTCTAAAGTACCATAAAGTTTTTGTGTACTGTATTATTAGTGTTCTGAAGCTATTATGTGATATAGAAATTAATATTTAAGTCATTAAATTCAAGAACACAAACTTTTCCCTCTCTGCGCCTGTCAGTCATTCTCCATTCAGCATTCAAACAGCACGTCACATTCGGTTACAGTCAATGATGAAACGATCTTCAATGATTCAATGTTAATCCTATTATACTGGATCTTTAAGATAAAGGTCTAAAGGTCTATATTTTCGAATGAAGAAACTTTTTCTTGCTGGACTTTATTGCTGTAACTTAATCGTGTTACTTTCTACCGGGTGTCGGACGCTGTCGGTTAGATCACAACACTAGAGTCAGAGCACTATAATTGTTCTTCACGCACACAGTAACTGAAATTTAAAACCTTTAAAAGAAAAGGCTCAATAAACTATTGCATAGATAGATAATGTATAATACACTGTTCATAAATATGTATTTCCTTTGTGCTTTGAACTTTTCAATACGGACTCAATGCGCTGTAACTTCATGTGGCTTCAAGCACATCATTCTCCGCTCGGGATGCACATAAGTGCTTTGTGCTGCACCGTATTGGAGCCGTAATATCATAATGCAGTGACGTAATGACAGATTATTAATTGCCTTTCAATTATATGTTGCTTTATAGCAGCCATGGCTATATTTTTTTTTAATGATTTTTGTTATCTTGTTTTTCATGAATGTATTTTTCAAAAATAAGAGCAATGTGTATTATCTATTATTAATATGGTTTATAATAGCATTTTTGTCATAGATTATGACAAAGTAATCATATGATCCACCAGCGAGGAACCAGCAGAACAGAGTGAACATTCTTTCTGTTTAGTTCAATCCTACTTAATAGGAATTTATTTAAAATGCTCGCTCTACTCCACACCATTAATGTCTTGTGCGGACATCCGTATTTTGACTTTCGGTTTTAAGTAAGCGATTTAAAAGCTCCCAAGTCCCAGCGGAGTCACACGTTGATTAACCGGTGGGAATATACACAATAGGCCTACCTGATATTGAACACAAGAGGGCAGTATAGCACTACGTATGACTCAGATTATTATTTTTTTATGAATTTTACAACAATTCTGGCTGTTTTTGAACGTAAACACAATTCTTAAATGAAAAAAAAGGAAAAATTGGGGAAGTTATAATATTTGTATAATTTAATTTAGAAACAAATGATGTATAATTACATTTTTAGAAGATATGAGGCTTTTAGTGTTTACTTTTTTGACATTACTTTAATCTTTTGCCATAGTTGCACATGTCTATTGGCTAATAAATGTGATGTATCTGTTGAGTTTCAAGCAATTTCAAGCAAGCTAAGAGTCCCAAAAGCATCAAAAAATAATGTTAAAGTTTGTTTCGTTGCCACGGCATTTTGAAAGTGACACACTTCCTGCTGCCAGTTGGTGGCGCTATAACTTTGACTCACAATAGTCACATCCATGTGATCGGTCTCTTACAGCGAAAACACTGCTGAAGTTTCATCAAGATCAGTTAATGTATGCTGAAGTTATAACACACATCCTGTTCCATGTTTCTCGCCATAATTTCGTTTCCTCGCCACGGCCAAACCGTTCGAGATATCAAAAATCCCGTGGCACTTTTTCATCCTTAATGTCTTGACTTCACGCTGATCGAGTTTCGTCGAATTTGGTTCAGTGCTCTAGGAGCAATAATTTAAATTACATTGCATGTGTTTTAAACACAACCCTAAATAGCCAACTTCCTGTTGGGCTGGGGTAAAAAGTAAGAGTGTGAAGTATATATGAAACGATGAGATCTATATGTGTACCAAGTTTCATATTATTACATGCAAGTGTGTTTGATTTATGGACCAAATTTTCAGACCAAGTTTATTGACCAAGTTAATCTGATTAATAAACTAATTATATAAAACTATTGTCAATTCACTACAATTAAACTAGTTATATGCCTTTACTTATAAAAAATAAAAATAAAAACTTATTTAAAAAATACCAGGCTTGAGAAATGTATTTTCTTTATGCAGGTCATACACACAGCAGTGAAATGGTTAAGCCCCCTCCCCCTGCACACACACACACACACACACACAGACAGACAGCCAGCCAGCCAGCCAGCCAGCCAAAGGCTCAGAGTGGCCATATTCAAACAAAAATATCTGAGTTTCTGTGGGTCCTAGCTAATAAGTGTCAATTAGAAAGTTGTCCGGCTCGAGGAGTACAATATACATACCAATTTTTGTAACTCTAGTTAAAACTAACCACCCCACTTTTGTCAAAAGGTGGCGCTACTGAGCCCTCACCACGCCCGTTTCTGCAACTTTGCACATGTCTACTGGCTAATAAATGTGATGTGTCTGTCGAGTTTCATGCAATTTGAAGCATGCTAAGGGTCTCAAAAGCATCCTAAAAGCATCCTAAAAGAAGGGTAAAGTTTGATGCGTCGCCACGGCAACAGTTTCAAAGATATCAAGAATCCATTCACAGGTCTACATCTGCCGTATGTTTACATTATACATATGAAGTTTGAAGCAAATCGGGTAAAAATAAAAGGGTGATATCTAAGCATTTTGAAAGTGACACACTTCCTGCTGCCAGTTGGTGGCGCTATAACTTTGACTCACAATAGTCACATCCATGTGATCGTCCTCTTACAGCGAACACACTGCTGAAGTTTCATCAAGATCAGTTAATGTATGCTGAAGTTATAACACACTTCCTGTTTCACGTTTCTCGCCATGATTTCGTTTCCTCGCCACGGACAAACCGTTCGAGATATAAAAAATCCCCTCGCAAACTTTCATCCTCAATGTCTTGACTTCACGCTGACCGAGTTTCGTCGAATGTGGATCAAAGCTCTAGGAGGAGTATTTGACATTCCATTGCGAGCGTTTTACAAACAAACCTCAATAGCCAAATTCCTGTTGGGCTGGGGTAAAAAGTAAGAGCGCGAGGTATAGATGAAACGATGAGATCAACGTGTGTACCGAGTTTCATATTATTACATACAAGCGTGTTTGAGTTATGGACCAAGTGTTCGGACCCCGTTCCAGGGGGCGCTGACGAGCTGCCCTGCCACGCCCGGGTACCATCTTCAGCCCGGCTCTGATGGCCGCGGGTTCTGACCCGTGTGCAAAGTTTCAAGAGTTTTCGAGCACGTTAAGGGCCCCAAAAGTGCCCAAAAGGTAGCAAAATAATAATAATACTAAAGAATAATAATCCCAAGGAAAACAATAGGGCCTTCGCCCTTTCAGGGCTTGGGCCCTAAAAAAAAGTTCGAACTCATTTATCAAAATGAACAAATCTTTTTTCGTGTCATTTGGTTCATTCAACGAACGAAATGAACGACTTGACTCGGGAAAAGATTTGTTCATTTTGATGAACGAGTTCGAACAGGAGAGTCACTAACGCGCATCACAGAACAGAGTAAGGCAAGCATTTGAGCTTATAAAACTTAAACTTTGTTGTTTTTTTTTTTTAAATGAGCGATCGTTTCGCTTGATAAGACCCTTATTCATCGTCTGGAATCATTTAAAGTCCTTTGAAAAGTTTGCAGTTTGCACTGAAACTGTCTTTTGGACCTTGAACTGTTTGGTTACCAGACAGTAAAATGCATTATATGGAGAAAAATCCTGGAATGTTTTCATCAAAAACCTTAATTTCTTTTCGACTGAAGAAAGAAAGACATGGATATCTTGGATGACATGGGGGTGAGTAAATTATCAGCAAAAGTTTTTTACAAGTGAACTACTTTAAAATGCAATTTATGTGATGGGAAATGTTCAGTCTTTAGTGTTACATGATCCTTCTAATCATTCTAATACGCTGATTTAATGATCAAGAAAGATTTCTTATTATCAAAGTTGAAATTTGTGAAGATAAATATTTTTGTGGAAAGCATGACACATGTTTGGCGATTCTTTGATGAATAGAAAGATCAAAAGTACAATATTTAATTTAAATTAGATAAATTAATAGAGTTTTTGTAACAAAGCGAATGTTATAATGTCACCCTTGATCAATTTAATATGTCATTTCTGAATAAAAGTATTAAGTACACTGATCCCAGCTTTTTGAATAGTGTTCAATTCTTGAATGATTTAATTAGAGAGAGAATATAGATAAAAACAGTCTACAAAGAAAACCAATCCAATGAATTCAATGCATGACATGCTGACCCCACTCATGCATTCATACAGTTTTTTTGTGCAATGTATTCAATGGTCTAGATAACATAATGTGAAATTGCATAGGACTTCTGCACTATTAGAATGGCCATGAAAATAGCCATTTAAGCATACGCCTTTAAACCCTTAAAGTTTCTGTGTCAAACCTTTGACAATCACTCCTAAACCCAATGAAGTAGAACAGGATGGTAATAGAATGGAAAATTATGAGGAACTTATCTAAGGAAGGTGACAGGATTACTATTCGCCACAGTGCTGTGACATGCTCAGAGATTTTACCATGCTTTTCAAGGTAATAGAGCAAGCTAATGGGACGTTCAGGTTCAATTGCCTATTGAATTGCTGTCTAGTGACGATCTGTATAATAATGTAAAGAGGAATATGAACAGTCTGGTTTGAATTAATAGAATACGTTCTGGAATTTTAAAATATTGAGAAACAAGTTCTCTGTGCTGTACAGTCTGTACAAAAATTAAAACATTGGTGTGTGCAGATAAAGGTCCTAAAATGTTGTTGCATTAAGAAAAAGCATTTCACAACATACAGTATCATTTATACCTCTCCAGCCTCTGCAACTGGAGTGATGGTGTTGGTCCTCTTGGATCCAATACGGAACTTAGCAGCTTTGTATATCTTCCAGTAGACAAACAGCACAACACAGAGAGGCAGATAGAAGGCCCCGAATGTGGAAAAGATGGTGTAAGACGGCTCCTGGCTCACCTGGCATTCCATGTCCATCTCTGAATAGGTCTCACCCCAGCCAAACAGAGGGGAGAGGGAAATAACAGACGAGAGCAGCCAGGTCAAGCCAATCATCCCATTAGAGATCTTCTTTCGGGTCTTCAACGTGTACTCCAGGTGGCGCGTTATGGACCAGTAACGGTCAAGGGCTATTGCGGTCACATTCCAAATGCTGGCCGTACAGCACAGGACGTCGAAAGATATCCAGACTTGGCAGAGAGCTCGGCCCAGCTTCCATCTCCGACCGTTGAGCTCATGGACAAGACTGAGAGGCATCACCATAGCAGCCACCATAACATCAGATATGGCCATGGATGCCACCAGGTTGTGGGGCACACGGTGGAATGTTCTGACTCTGAGAATTGTGACAAGGACGAGCATGTTCCAGAAAAATGTAGCCACCACAAGCATTGCCAGCAGTGTGAACGTCAAGACACTGAACACTGTCTGTGGCCAGTAGACATTTCCATATTCTGAGCTTTGATTAAAGGAGCTGTTATGGCTGACATCAGCCATGTTATTGAGTGCACTTATGTCCACTTAACACCACTTACAAAATGACGAGAACGAGCTTTGCTGGACTGCAACAGCTGTAGAAAAAGTAAGAAAATAGAGATTGTAAAAAAAAATCTGCTTCTACACATATTCTGTGCTATGGAAAAAAAAATAGCGATACTTAATCAACATTGGAAACTGAATGTTTGCTTGTAGAATCTGCAATGAAAATTATATAATTTACTATTTAGACATGTAGGAGTAATGTACAGTCAGCCAGTAAAAATCACTATAAAATTGTTGCAATATTTTTTAATATACATATTTGACCTCTTTTTTTATTTAAGTTATAAATATAAAAGCTTTTGTACCTCTGGAATTGATTGGATAGTTGTCATTTGTTATTTCTGTGATGTCAAGTGAATGACAGGATGTCTTTGCACCAGTAAACACACCATAGGAGAAGAGATGTCGCTGCAAGAGGAAAGTTATTTTGATTAAATATAAGGCCACATGAATTTGTAAAAAAAATAATGATGTGAAATCATATAATAAATACTGCAATATTACTTTAAAATAGCAATTGTCAATTTAGATTTTTTAGTGACTTTAAAAGAGATTCATCAGCCAGAAGAGGTACTGTTCATAAGCCTTAGGCTACAATTGTCACGCTGGGAGAGCTCAGACATAAGGTAGAGCTGGATCATGTGCAGTATGCAAGTTTTATTAATAAAAAGTTACAAAGATTGGAAACAGTCAAAAGTCACGTTTTCCTGTGAACAGAACAGAACAGAGACAACCACCAACATGAAGCCTGACAAAGAACACAGGAAACACAGGGGTATAAATACACAAGGCTAACATATAACAAAACACACCTTGGAGAAATCAAGACTAGAGAACAGGGGGAACCAATCAGCAAAAGGACTACAAAAGAATTGCAAAACCTAAAACAGGAACTGAAAGTGAAACACTTGCTTACTTCCTTTCGTCTCGTGGACTCGACTTTCATAAACCACATAATTTCCTTAAATCAAATATGAGACATCCAAGAGATGTATCATCTGCTTTCACATAGCTAATGTCCTCTTCTTTGAATACTTTAATGGCAGTTAAAACAGAGCAGCATCAGAGGGCTCACCCTAATCACACTGGCAATTCTCTTCACAGCAGATTCCTTAAATAGGTGACAAGGGTTCATTTAACTGGTTTTACAGACTTGCTCATTAACACAATGCTCCTTTACACTGTTTTGGCAAGTTGTAAATCACACAGAAATCACACTTTGTTGTTGTGTGCATATGCAACATGCTAAACCTACAGCACTTCCTTAGTTCTCACTTTTCAAGGTGCACTCAGTAAGTTTTAAAGGGGTGGTTGATTATGATTTCACTTTTCTAACTTTAGTTAGTGAGTAATGTTGCTGTTTGAGCATAAACAACTTCTGCAAAGTTACAACGCTCAAAGTTCAAAGCAAAGGGAGATATTTTCTTTTAATGAAATGGCTTTTTAAAGAGTAACTAAACACTTTAACCAACTTTTTTTAGTTAATGATCTGTAAGAATGGATCTTTATTAATACCAGTCATTGATTCGAGTAACTTTTTTGGCATTTGTTTATAAAGTGTTCTATTTCTACAATATATGGTGTAAAAACGTCTTAGTGCTTCAGGTTGAACGGTAGACTACAGGACATTCCTCCCAGGTTAGTAACATCACCAACAACGCATTCTCACCCCAAGGTGTCACCTTTGCCCATGCTTCAATATTTGACGTTTTAGGCGCCCTTTAGCGTCACTTACATGACGCGATCCTACGGCGTCATCTAACTGACGCTAAAGGAAAGCGTCAGTTAGAGGACGCGGTTAGGTTTAGGTGTGGGGTGGGGGTAGGGTACACGCGATCCTAGGGCGTCATCTAACTGACGCTAAAGGGCGCCTAAAGCGTCAGATATTGAAGCATGTCCAAATGCTTCTCAAGGCGTCAGTTAAGTGACGCCTTGGGGGTGAGAATGGGCTGTCACCAACCCTAAAATGTATATAAACATGGGTGGTGATGGCACAGTGGATAAGACACATGCCTTTGGTCTAAAGAGACCCAGGTTTGAATCCACTGTGAGACACCAATGTGTCCCTGAGCAAGACACTTAACCCCTAGTTGCTCCAGAGGCGTGCGACATCTGACATATAGCAATTGTAAGTCGTGGATAAAAGCGTCAGCTAAATGAATAAATGTAAAAGTAAATAAACCCCGCCCCTGGGAATGCAATTTATAGATTATCATAGCATAACTGAGAGTTAGGAGTCACATGCCGATTTGCGCAGGGTCGGCCATGATGGTAGGAGACGCTATCGGTTGCCAGGGGCAGCACCTTCAGAACTTCACAGAGGCGCGACTAAAAATTCCAGAAATGGCAAAAGAGAGACAGTGCAGCTTAGTATGTCCTTACATTTTAACGAGAAAAAATTTAATTCCTTACATTTTTTCCTTACACAGTTTGCCTTTTATTTAAAGCAAACGAACGAAACTGATACTCTGTTATTCAACTAGAGTTGTTTAATTTGTTATAGTTTCATTTGTTATATGTAACGGGAAATGTTTTAAAAAGACACTTTTTTTAATGACGTACGACTCGCAGTGACAGGGGCATGTCCGATCTGTCCGCTTGACGTTGCACGGCAGGTGCAAATGCACATATCAGATTTATTTCCACATATGAATGAGGCCTGAAACATCAACCCTAGCAGTTTAACATTACAGGTTTGGGGGTTTCAGAAATGTTGCACCCAGCCGCAGCAGAATTATTCATGAGCTTCTAATGACTCAAAGCTTTTGAACTCTTCCATTGTAATGTCTAGGCAGTAATGTTAAGCACTGATACCATAAACCAGGTAATTGACTATGTCAGGGTATCTGAAAGGTGCTAGTGCTTTGGGTCTTTCGTCCATTCTGTAGCAGGTCATGGGTCCATGTTGTTGATGTCAAGTAGTTTATCTAAATAAAGCTGCTTGGTGTTGTTATTTAGTCTCTCCCGATAGAGCCCCTTACTTTCCCTTCTTCATTTATTCCCAAGAAACTGTGCCGTATCACAAAAAAGCAAACAAATATCCAGCTGCTCTCTTTCTCTGTCACTATTTCTCATGGTCGAAGTAACCATGACAACGGATGGCGTATCCTTCCAAAATAGCGAATCCTTTCCACATTGCAACGCGGAGTGATACGCGTGATGTCACATTCTCATTCTCAATATGCTAATCAATGACTAGAAGATAGACATAAGCTACATAAATACATCAACTAACCATTCAGAAATGTCCTGTTGCATCCTACATGTTGTCACTTCTTGAGTCTCTCCATTGTCTGAATCCGGTTTGAATATAAAAGGCTAAAAGTTTTTGAAATTATCAGTGAGTATATCTGTGTGAGGAGGTAATCGAAGCACCGCCCTCTGCGAAGGGAGCAGCAGCTCATTCGCATTTAAAGGAACAGACACAAAAAGTGCATGTCTCACCCTTGAAAACATGCTATGTAAAATATCTGTGGGGTGTTTTGAGCTCTGGGGACATCATAGACTTAATTCACATCTAGTGAAAAGGGCATTTAACTTTTAACTTTTGACACTATTGCTGTTGATGCATTCATTTTGTTTTGCCACTTCATGTTTTTTTTTTCTGTTTCCGCTACTCACGTTTATATGACAGACATTATTGGATTCAATCCCAATTAGTTTTTATGCATTGTTGGTGGTTCATGAGGTCTGGCTGCTGCACTGCACTGTGATCGGAAGGCCATGAGATCTTCCCTGTGGTCGCTGGGTATTGGATTAATTTTTTCCCTTGATCTGTGGCATGGGAGCTGCGGGTCGTCACAGTTTGTTTAATCACTCCAGCAGGGACTTGTTTGGATTTTTTGTATTTCCACATGCACTCCTGTCTGGACTGTCTGGTGAATTGTGAACATGCTGTCATGTCTAAGTTCAGTTCAGTTCTTGTGTAATGTACATTATATTTGTTATTGTTTGATGTTCTGTTTTGTTTACATGTACTTTTAAGTTTATTCTTCATAAACCATCAGACATGAGCACTGGGTGAAAGCACTAAAAAAATATTGCTGATATTATTATTATTATTATTTTTAAGGCATACCATGATCTCAATATGGCAGTGACCATCAGGAGATGACCTACTACTCCATGCAGAATGAAACAGCTTTTTCTGAGTGTGAAATGAAACAGAATTCTGAAAATGAAACAGCTTTTTTCTCTTAAAAAAAAAAGGTATCAATGCAATTCAAGAACAACATTCCTGTGAATAGTTCTGAAAAGAACCATGGTTTTCTTATGTGAACAACATTAAAAAAAATAAAAAATTAAAGAACCTTTTCCCACTATAAATAGCCTAACCTTTTGAGGAATGGAACTTTAGGTTCCAAAGAAAGCTACTTCGTGGACTATCAATACCAATAAAGAATCATTATTTTCGAGTGTTGTACTGTTCATTTGAAAAACGTTTTAATTTGCAAATGAGTGCATGATCATAGGCTACTCTTTAAATCCGTGATCTAGCCAAGCTGCATCAAAAGGTACAGCACTGAACTGCTCTGTGAAGGTAGGCTACTTTTGTGCATTGATTTACATATGCTGCTAAGCATCAATGTTACTCAAGCAGCCTAGCAATTAACATATGCAGGGTAAGTAAGCGAGTAGCCTACATGCGCATGCAAAACATTCTGAATTCTGATAGCGCGACTCACAGAAGCATTTGTAACAATAGGCCTATTATATTTCATATCATTCACAAAATTTGTTCGTGCAAAGAAATTACGACTATGAAATGGGAAAATTTTTTTCTTGACCACTGGCACTGATTTTCATTGAAGCTTAAATTATTTTTAAGACATTTAACAATTAAGTTCCAAAGTCGTAAATGGTTCGCACTATAATTTCGTAATGTAATTCAATTTAGCCCAATGAAATAGAAATACTAACTTCCACGTGACATTCATAGGCTATTAGGCTACTTCAACTATTATATGTCAGCCAACAGCATCATTCAATGGTAGCCTCTATAGCCCTGTAGCGCTGCATGTCAGATTTAAGCTACACAAGCGCGTATTCACGGCATCTCTCCACAACAGCTTTTATGTTTTTCTCCCCTTCCCACTTACCTTAGGAAAGAAAACTTTTTCTTCAGCGACGGTTGTGTCACCCAAATCTGTAGAAAACAATATCCTGAGTATCAGGATCTCGTGCAAGAGAGGAGTGACTGACCGCGCTACTGCAGTTTCTCAAGTCGCCACCTCGACCACATTGATACGAAAGTGTTGCCATATCACATTTCAATGACATAGACAACTGAGATGTTTTCTCGTCTACGTTTTTTGATTATATGCTACCCCGTTTCCTTATTTTTTTATGATTGTAGATTTCTGCAGCTCTTTACCCAGGGGAAATCACATTCACCGAGGCAGCCACTTCAACACGTGAAAGGCAAACAAACAAACACAGACATGAAGCTGAAGCTATTAATAAAGCACCAATAAATGTTTTTCTTTCTTTCTTTCTTATAAGCTTCATCATTTATTACGCTGTCTCTAAACCTAACCCTCACATTGTTATTATTTCTAGGCTACATTAATAATTGTGCTGCTTTTCGAGCATTTCCAATTGAGAAAAGATAGGTCTATGTTATTTGTGAAGAGAAGACAAATGAAATTCGTGATATATAGGCTACTTTTTTTTTCTTTTTTGTCCTCAAATCACCATTAAGTAACCTTATTTTGGCTATTTACACATATAGGCTAACATAAGCCATTTTTCATACCAACAAAAATCCACATATATTTTTAATAGATATTTTTCTTTTCATTTTCTTTATCCGTGAAGATGTCTTCTGGCTGACGTATCCTGGAGCCAGCCAGCGCATACATTGCAATAAAAGGTTTAATGCTTAACTTATTCTCTCTTTATTTTTGTGGAGATAATCTGCATTTTATTAGATTTTGAAGTTTCACTTCATGTGTCATCCTGGTTACATCCCATTAGTTCTTATTAACAGCACTTTAAAAATGTTTGACCTGTAACTGAATAAGTTAGATAATGATAAAATATTAGTTACAACAAGTTAAAAAACAGTTACAGGAAAGTGTAGAAAGTATAGCTACATTCTGATACTTATATATTTAAATCGATCATTAAATTACACATCTTCATAAATAAAATATTTTAAAATTAGTGCTACAAAATGAAACGCTCATAATACAGACACAAGTGTTTCGTATGTGGCGCTTTTATTGATGTAAATAAGCGCGTAGGAAATGACGCACCTCCCACACGTGACATATTGCACAAATATAGGGGTGTTATGAAAAAACAGCATATTTGAGTTTATAAAAGTAAATATTTTAAGCATACCAAACGATTTTTAAAACAAGATTATTACGTTTAATAATGGAATGTGTACACATTTATTATGGTATTTTATGTATTTACCAGACCTAATTGCATAAAGTGATTAATCTCCCCCATGAAAAACATGTAAACGTCCAGAGCCCGCCGAATCCTCTTTGGCGCTTCTGTACCTCTATGAGGCCGGCGTTGTACGCTAATCTGACAGCAACATAATGCTTACTTTCCGCTGTAAAATAAATTAAAGCAATCAAAACAATGTCGGAAGACGATTTAAAAGTACCGGAAGAGCTTTTCAAGGACGTGAAATTCTATGTGGTGGGAGACATTGATCAGAAGGTATTTTAACTGGAATAAGACATTAATTTAGCCTTTTGGCTAATGCTTACTGACTGGTGTTAGCATAAAGGCTAGCCCACATAAACACTCATAACATGGTGAAAAGTAGAGGATACATTTGGAAAAAAACTGTATTAATGTAACTCTTGAGTATATTAGGGTTTATTTATTCAGGACGCACTTTGTATGTACGGTGTACTCTCCTTTATCTGCTGTTAGCGAAAGTCCTGTCTTCAGTATGTTAGCCATCATCAGTGACAACAATGCGACACTTCCCACGGTGACCTAATCTTTTAGTTGTATCAGCGATTTATTTGCAAGTGAATGAATAATCATGCCCCTGAACTGTGTGTATACAATATTGGTCAAGGATAGCTTGTATCTTAAATGGGAGGTCAAGGAAACGCTATAACGCTAGCATCTGTAACGTTAGCCCTCTTCTGTGTTTATCATTAAAAAAAAGTGTCTCATCTTTTAGAATTATGTGTAGTTCATGCTTACATTTTTTGCACGATTTTATTTACGGTTCCTGGTCCATACATTAAGAGCTTGCAGCAAGCAGATTATACGTTTGTTTTTATGACTTTTATGACTGACATGGTGATGATTGACTGTTGATATTTGCTTATAGGTTGTGCAACTTCTGAAAGCTGGGAAAGGAAAAGAAGTGTCTTATAATGCCCTCGCCACCCACATTATAGCAGAAGATGGGGACAATCCAGAGGTTGGGGAGTCCAGAGAGGTCTTTGACTTGCCTGTTGTCAAGGTAAACAGACATAATATTGCACTGAAGGCAGGGTTTAGAAGGCATTTTTAGTTGGCAACATTTTAGACAGATCTCCTGCCTATAATTAGATGTGATCACTTACTGTTGCTAATAAAATTGTGCTGTAATGTTTAACATGCATATTATTTTCTCTTTCAGCCAAGCTGGGTGATCCTGTCTGTCAAATGTGGAGACCTGCTACCGTATCCTTTTAAGATTCACTGTTAAGTCAAGTCAAATTTATTTATATAGCTCTTTTTACAATACAGATTGTATCAAAGCAGCTTCACAGTGATAACATGAAAATAATACAACACAGATCAATAATATTGTTGACTATTAAAAGTCCCCAACTAAGCAAGCCAAAAGCCAAGGCGACAGTGGCATTGGTTTGAAAATCTTCAGTTCTACTGTTGTTTTTGCACCCATGTTCAAAATTCACCATCAACTTCATGCAATCTTGGAACTAATAATGAGTTAAAGAGGAATATCATACAATTTTTTTATCTTGACTGTTAATACATCAGAGTTACAGGATTTTCTCCAGAGTCAGGACAAGTGTTCTTTGGTGTCACAGCTTGTCTGCCACATGTAAGTAATTCATGCATATTCATTAAAATCTACATATTACCGTCTGTCATTATCAGGCAGCAGGGTTGAGATTTTAGTGTTTAATAATCTTCTCTTTGTTTATAGCTGGCAGAGGATCTCAACACACTATGGGCCTTTATCACATTCTATGGAGGTGACTGTCAGCTCCACTTCAATAAGAAGTGCACCCATCTTGTTGTGCCTGAACCGAAGGGGGTAAGCGCATGTCTGTCATCTTGTCTAATGCATATAATTAATGTTTTCTATTATTAGTTAGATGTCAGTCAGATTGAGGGTGTGTGTTGTGTTTACTTACACTAAATGTATAGGGCACAGTAAGATATTGTGCATGAACACAGTTTTATTGTCCACACTCTCCATAGTAAAGTGGGGGAGGTGTGTGAGATTCAGCAGCTCAGTTAAAGTTTACGACTAATAGAGTGCCTTTAACAGCTGCTATCTGCAAGATGTTGTCTAGGTTTACATCTGTGGGTTGTTTTCTCTTCTCAATTGAGGGATGAGACTGAATTGCTGGTCTCGTTTTATTGGCTCTGTTTTTGAGGTCTGAGTGGTGTATTCTAAAAAGGTCAGTCTTATTGCCCTATTTCACTGTCTAGGTTTTCAAAGCCTGCCTTTTATAGGAAACTCTTGGTAACCAAGCAAATGTCATTGGTAATATCTGGTGTGCCACGCTGAAACCGTTTTTTTTTTTATTTGAGAAATATTCTGTGTACTTTGAAGGATCATGAAAATATTGTCACTGCAGTGATGTGACCTCTTTGTTTTCTTTGACTTTGGCAGTTGTGGATTTTTCAGAATCATTAGGCATTAGTGTATTTGTCAAACACAATTTTATTAAGGGTGCTCCGATGATTGACTGGTTGCCGATCATAATCGGCCGATAATTGCTTTGGGATGTGTGATCGGCGGTCTCTATAAAGGCTGATTAAGAAAAGCCGATCAGATGACGTAAAACTTGCACAAAATCTGACTAAGCATCCCAGAAAAAAGCAAAGTTATAGATTGCTTATATGGAAGTTTTTAGTTATTTGTATTTTTTGTTGCTGTGGACTACCTGTGGTCCTTTAAGTGTATTAGTAAAACTGAGGGCTGACTGATTCAAAACATTATTTTGGCTATAGGCTACCTTTTTTTGTTGTTGTTTTTAGTTTGTCTAAAGCTAAATTTAAAGGCTCAGATGTTCTGTCTTTTATTTATTTTATTTTATATTCTACAGGAAAGTTGTATTTGTCAAGCCCTAAGGCTGTTCCCAATAACCAAGTACAAGCTGCTAAGTTAATATGCTGGACATGTTGCTTGCAAATAAATACACAGGTGTCAATTCATGATACATTGTCTTCTCTTAAATGTAATACTTAATCTACAATGTTGTTAAATATAGTTTAATAAGTAATGCTACATGATAAATAGAAGTCTTCAAATAGACCCTGTAATCGGTGATCGGTATCGAGTGATGCAGCTTCCAGTAATCGGGGATTGGTGATCGCCCCCAAAAATCCTGATTGGAGCACCAATTCATGCTGCAGTTTATCAAAAAAATATTTCAGAAAACAGCTATTTAAGTTGTTGTTGTTGTTCATTTTCTTTTTATATCTATATGAATATATAATAATACCTTTAATAATAATAATTATTGTTATTCTTTAGGGCTGCCTCAGACTATACTAGCCAATTTTCTCTGTCGACTGTTAGCCACAGCCAGTAATTCCCATCCTTTTCCATCTCATGGCCCACACAAGTAAACCCACAAGTTTCCCTTCTGCAAGAATTTTAACAAACCTGACTGTCGCGTTGGTTAATGAGGACTTGGAAACGGAGATCGTTAACATTCTTTCTTTTTTTTTTTTTTTTTTTTATAAACTGGCAATGAACCGAAAATGCAGATAATGGGTTACAGAGGCCAGGCCTGGGTTCCTGGGTGCTCTAGCCTTAAAGGGATAGTTCACCCAGAAATGAAAATTCTGTCATCATTTACTCACCCTGAAGTTGCTCCGAACCTGTATGACTTTCCTGATAATTCAGAAATTAACTTATCATAATGTTCATTCATATTCTTCAGCCTTTAGAAATAAAGAGATGGTAACCTGGGAAACGATATCTTCACCAACAAATATTGATGCAAACCAAACGCA